TGTTTTTAACAACATGAACCGCATTAATCATTACATTATGTCAAGGTTTCCCACACTAGGGTTCAAGAAGGTACTGGAGGGGTTGTGATTTTAATGAAAAGCTAATAATTAATTAAATCATAAAAATGTGAAATCTAAATAAATCATTTTAAAATAACTAAAATCTAAATTAAACACTTACTAAAAAAGATGAAATATTGTATTTGTTTACCTGCATGAACCAAGATCAGAGAACCATGAACATGCAAATATAAGGTGAAAGAGGAATAGGAATCCCTGCATGACATGTTAATGAGAAATAACGTGAATTTGTGCATTTTAAAGATATTGCCAACGTATGTTAACAAATGAGACCTAAGTGTAGTTATAAATGTTTTCATAAATGTCAGGTTGGGACAAGAGTAGCCTATCATGTGTTGTAATTTTATACACTATAATATTTCAGAATCCTGTAGGCCTAATATATTTTATAAATAGGCCTAATATTTTATAGATACATTTCTATCATATTTTTAATATTACAGAATCACAAATATGGCCTACTGTTAGCCAAAACAATGATTTGAGGTTGTCGTGTTTGCTTAGCCTACTTTTAACTGCTTCAATTGTGTTTCACAATTGCTTTATCATTTAATTGCTGAAAATACTTTACATCTTGCAAGTGTTGTTTTCAACGAATTGACTTTGGCATTTTATAGCTACTTTAAAATAGGCCTAGTCAGTGTAGTAGCTTAAAACGTGTGACAACTAGCCCCGGTCTCCACTGTAATGGAAATTAATTTCAGAGCCTTTTTTGTTTTGATGTCAAAAGATGTAATGAAATGATTTCACTAGTGCATCACTAATGAGTGCAAGACATCGTTCTCATCATGTTATTGAGTTCTTTTTGGTTTTGTAGTAACATGGTAACCGAGTGTGATTCTCCATCCAAACATTGCAAACTCTGACGCTCTCGGATGTTAGTCGCTGCTGTCGTTATTGTGGCTTTGAGCGTGTCACGCCGATATATGTAATCGGCCTGTTACGTAATCAAACGGACAACGGTCATCCACTGTCACTCGTGCTTCATCACATTATGTCCCAACCCCGGAGAATACACACTGATTTAACCGTGTTTCCTTTTGTTTTCACATCCCACAGTTCTCCTGGCTGATGCATACCGATGTTTCTGAGCTGTGATTGAGAACAGATGTTTTGGCCTCTCCTGGCAAGACACTGAGATTATTGTGCTCCAAGAAAACCCCCAAACACTGCTATTGCAAAACCTGAATATGCTTAAACATTAATAAATGCACATGTCCAGTCACACTGCATGAGCCACATATCTAATTTTATGTCCAGACATGTCCTCAAAGCATGCATCAAAGGTTGCATTGCTTTTCTTTCCATTATTGCTTCTGTTTTTGATGATTAGTAACAACAAACTCTGAGCACATCACTCTGAAACCATGAGATTAATGCCAGTGTTGTCTATAAATGCTATTGGCTTCTCAAAACAGAACACACTTGCAATAAATTATTTGAATGACTAATATTTGGCACTTTTTGGTGCTGGCGTCTCTTATACTTTTCCCTTATTTTTTGTGCCTTTGAATGAGAAACTGGAAAAAGTTAGTCTAGTAGAGTATGTTCAAAACGCAAGCTGTAAAACATTTAAAAGCTGTAAATGAGCAATATTGGATGTCAAAACTCAAGAAAAATGTAATTGCAATGAGGAAAGTTAATTCTTTATAGTATTTGTATAGTGATGTGTTTAATCAAGTCCACCCACAGAACTGTGAACAATACTCTCCTGTCTGACATGCTGTGAAAATGGCCAGCCAAAAGTTTGATTGCATGAATTTTTAGAGGTGCTTCTCATATAATCTTGCATGCTTTTATAAAATGCTGACAGCAGCAATGGGATGAAATGTTAAAGGAATTGTTCACTAAAAAAAAAATTCAAATGTGCTTAAAGAAGTGGCATGTAAAAGACCCTCCAAAGACCTGTTTTAGAAAGACTTTTTGTTTTTATCTGGTGTCAGGAAACAATATAAGACATTTTCAGTTTTGGAGCCGTCAGGACCATTGTGTCTCATTCCTGTAAACAGAATGTTAATCATTACCAAAATATTGAACTAACTGTATAGACTAGACAGTCAGAATGAGAAAAACATAAAAAAGGTGAGCACTAAGATAAGATAGCACTCAGTTTGAGAAAAACAAATCATTTAGGTGAAGACTTGCACCGAGCTGCATTTTTAGAGATATTTAATAATTCACACAAACATGCCGTGTGAAGACTGTGGTAGTAAAAAGGATCTTTGGCGGAACATGCATTTGGATTTTAGGCCTCATACACAATCCAACCAACATAAATCCATCTTTTTAAAATTACAATGGCTCAGTGTGGATTCCAGCACTCATCAGTGATCAAATAAGTATCAAGGATTCAATAAAATCCACATGAATGCACGATGTTTGCACCACTTACCCAATCGGACATTTCTAGTTTTATCAGAAAGATGCATAATATTCAATCACAAATAGTAAAACATCATGAAATGTGCATGTGGCTTTTTTGCACAACATGCTTTACAACTGATTAGTTCTGCATTGTTCCCTCAGAAAGCAAGCAAGCAGAAAATTAGTACAGAATGAACAAAATTTCCTCTTTTGTACAAGGTTTTAGTGTCATTTTGACCTGTTGCAAACTATTTAAAAGAAGAACTGCTAAAGACATCGCTAAAGATCTCATCTCACAAAGTTCCCTTAAAGGGGTCATATGATACGATTTCAATTTTTCCTTTCTCTTTGGAGTGTTACAAGCTCTTGGTGCATAAAGAAGGAATAAAATCACAGCTGTAAGAAGAATTTGCTTTCGCTGTTGGAAAAAACAAGTGTGTGTGCCTGTCTCAGACGGCTCCATTATCATCACATGTCCAGAGACTGTTGACCTGCGCTAAACCCTCACAGCCAAATTAAACTGAGGCCTGTTACACCATTAAAGCATGACCTTTGGTTTAAGGTCGTGCAAATCCTGGGAAGCCAGGCTTATTAAGTCAAACTGATAATGAGTGTTTTAAAGAACCGCAGTTCCACCCAAAAATTAAAAAACCTCAATAAGACCTCAGTTTATTGGTTTAATGGGCGAAACCAGTTCACATAAATTATCCTATTAGTTATAGTGAACTTTGAGTGGATCTTTGCAAGCATTAAGTTCCTTACGCAATGCATCTGAATGGATTTTTCTCATCCAAAACAAACGCTGTTTTTGCAGCCTATTGTCAAGCACATGCATGCAGTAAACATGAATTGATGGTGAAGTGTGTAATTCCTGCATTAAGAGTGGCACCAAACAGATTTGGCAAAAGTAACTAAAAAGAAAAGTTAGAATTTTGGATTAACAAAGCAGTTTTTTACTGTGGAGCTTGTGTAGTTTGAGTGCTTTGCCAACAGGGGGAGTCAGTCAGAATTTTAAATGGATTTTAATCAAAAATTTTGCTTCTCTAGTAGCTGCGAAATTAATCTCTAAGTAAAATATACAGGCTTGGTCCATCATTCAACTGCATCCAGTGTTTAACTGTTATCACTATGAATGTTATTTTTCTGATTGGTGTTCATCAGACCTGTTGGCTTTTTTCTAGGTGACAACATGATTAAATCACACGTAACACCCATCTATCGTCATTTAAGTCGAGTAAAGCTATTGGGTTACAAGGAGTTCTGGTTTTTATGAAAGATAAATGACGCAAGCAGTGGGGTTAACATATAATATGATGCTCTTCTTTTGCCATCTACAGGTCATCTGAATAATCAACAAAAGAGCTGCAAAGCTGGTTTCACATGAGTCTTTCGTAAATGCTGAACAAAACAGGGTTTTCCTTTTTTTGTATCTTCCATTTTTATCTTTTTTGTCATGTAAAGGTTGCAGAACATCCCACAGAGTCCTATAGACACACACATATCACATGTATTTGTCCAGTAGGCCTAATTTACTTGTAATTTATCCAGACATTAATGTTCGAAAGGCTTTTCTGAATGTTCTGTTCTGTTTTTGAAATGAATTTGAAACCATATTTAATATAAAATTCATACAAGAAGGGAAACTTGAATAGCTTACCATGCTGAAGATTATGATACTGAAGTGAAATTTTAATTTAGGCCTATCTATAAATTTCCATTTATTAAACTATATTAAATTGTCTTGAACTGTAAACCTAAACATTTCTCTACACTTTTTTTTTTAATGAATTTTGTATATTGTTCTTATGCACTTATGGCACTTATAGTTATTCAATATTGAATACTTATTATATATTCAATATTGTGTGAACTGTTTAATATCCTAATACATTTTATAAAAATCTAAATATAATGTAATATTAGGCTATGTATAAAATATATGAATATAAGTAAAACATTAATTATTTATGTGAATTAATTATATATGACCCTGCAGCACAAAAGCAGTCTTAAGTCGCTGGGGTATATTTGTAGCAATAGCCAACAATACATTGTATGGGTCAAAATTATTGATTTTTCTTTTATGCCAAAAATCATTAGGATATTAAGTAAAGATCTTGTTCCATGAAGATACTTAGTAAAGTTCCTACTGTAAATATATCATAACGTAATTTTTGATTAGTAATATGCATTGCTAAGAACTTAATTTGGACAACTTTAAAAGTGATTTTCTCAATATTTAGATTTTTTTGCACCCTCAGATTCCAGATTTTCAAGTATTGTCCTATCCTAACAAACCATACATAAACCATAAAACCATAAAACATCGAATTCTACAACACTTTGCATTTAATTATTTATTTTTTTTAATCTAAATGGTAGTATAACAAATATAATGGTAGCCTATATTTATTTATGAGTGCATAATATTTTAACAGATATTACTGACATATTTAAAAATAGTAACTTGAATCATATCTTAAGTATGTCGCAAGTATAGTTGTGTCGTGTTGGAGTGAGGAGGAGCGAGCGCGTGTTCCTGTTACTGTAAGCACACGTCAGCAGTAGAGACCTCCTCATTCTCTCAGCACTTTCTCTTCCTGCTTCCAACTTTGTTGCACATGACACTTCATCAGGGTGAGTAGCTCGCGCTTTACAAACAACCAGACTTGCGACAAAATCTCATTATCATCATCTCACGCGCCGCGTTACGAGTCGCTTTCAGAGGACAAAACTCACTCATGAACTTCTTTTGACAGAACGATGTCCGTGTTTCACCTGAACGCTCGCGGTGGAGATGCCCGGATTGTGTCCACAACAGACGCATAACAGCAGCGTATGATCCAGAGCTTTTGATTTCCACAGGTGCTTTGGCTGTGAAAATGAGATTCCGGTTGTTGAAGAAGAACTTTATTGCGTTCCTCGTCATTTTAATTGTGTTTATAATGTTGTTTTACACCATACGACGGACTAAAGATGAAACAAACGTGGAGGTGACTGAAAAAGAGGTCTCACAGACTGCTATAATGGTTACATTTGACTACGGGACCATTGAGAATATGAGGAAGTCCGTCTATGATAGCAACTACCACCAGTTCATTCAGAATAGAGACAAGTTTCCATTGGATCCTGAGGTGGTTGTCGTCGTGCAAGTCCACAATCGTCCGGCGTACCTCAAAATGCTCATACAGTCCTTGGAAAAAGTCACTGGAATACAAAACAACCTTGTGATATTCAGTCATGACTATTTCTCGGAGGAAATTTCCGATATGGTCAAAGGAATCGGCTTCTGCAAGGTCCTCCAGATCTATTTCCCCTACAGCATCCAGCTGTATCCCAACGAATTCCCAGGACAGGATCCCAAAGATTGTCCGAGAGACATATCGAAGGAGGATGCCGTAAAAAAGGGCTGTTCGAACGCAGAGCACCCGGATTCGTACGGACACTACAGGGAAGCGTCCATCACCCAAACCAAACACCATTGGTGGTGGAAGCTGCATTTCGTGTTCGAGCGAGTGAGGGTTCTTCGGGGATACAACGGCTTTGTCGTCGTCATCGAGGAAGACAACTACCTTCTCCCAGATTTCCACGAATACTTCAAATCCATGGCCGAGCTCAGGAAAACCAAATGCGGGGATTGCGACATCCTCGCCGTAGGCAACCATAACGGTTTATCAGGCTTCCACGAGCTTTCCAGCAAAACCGAGACGGCAGGATGGCTGTCCACCAAGCATAACATAGGAATGGGCATCTCCAGAGAGCTCTACTACAAACTGATGGGATGCAATCATGCATTCTGCACCTATGATGATTATAACTGGGACTGGACCCTGCAGAGCTTGTCTGGTACGTGCATCTCCAAACCTCTCAAGGTTCTGGTGGCTCGTGGAAGTCGGGTTCTTCACACGGGAGATTGCGGCCTGCATCAGAAGGAGGATTGCCGGCCGGAAAAGGCTCAGGAGAGGGTGGATGAAGTGCTTAAAGAGGCACAGACGGCTCTTTTCCCTCCCGCTTTGACCTTGACGGACCACGGGCCGGTGGAGCATCAGCCTCACATGAAGAACGGAGGATGGGGGGACGTTCGCGACCATACGCTGTGCATCAACTACGCAGCTCGACTCTGAGCTGGACGCTTTCACTTATGACCGATTAAGTGCCATTCAGAACATCAGGGTTAAATGATGCAGGTTAAAGGTTTTGCTTTCACCAAAAACAGGGAAATGTGAGCTATAATGGTGTGTATATTGTGCAAATTGCAGATGAATCTCAGGTCGAATTTTCACAACATAATCAAAAAACAAAATATTCTCATTACAGTATAATGCTTCTGAATTTTCCCCCTAGTTTTTTTTATAATTACAACACTGAAATAAAAACTATTATAGAAAATATTCTTGTGTTGCAAGAAAACACTTTTTCAGTCTTCTTGAAAATGGAAAATTTCCTGTTTAATTTAGTGTCAGTTGCCATTTCTTAGTAATTATTTGTGAAATTTACTAGAAATTTCAGAGGGAAAATTGTTTCAGTGTATGCTTTACAGTTTTCACGCAGGAAATTGCTTGTTAATTTCACAAATAATTAAATGAAATGTGAAATTTTGAGGTAAGACTGAAATAGTGTTTTCTTGTAAAACAAACTCCAGTAATCTTACAACTTCAAATAACATTTTTTGCAATGCATTTTATAGTAAAAATTGACTATAATATATATATATATATTTTAAATTAGCACGCACTAAAGCCAGTACACTGTTACAAAATTAGTTGTAATAACGCAAATATTATTGGTGCACATTTTACAAGAAAATACTGTTTTAGTCTTTCTACTTCAAAATTTCGTGTTTAATTCACTGTGCAGTTTCTTTGTAATTAAATGTGAAATTTAAAAGGTATTTATGAGTGAAAATTGTTTCTACACCAATTTTTTGAGTGATAATACCATGATTATTAATGCTTTACAATTTAAATGATGTATCGTTGGCATTACGATAATGAGAATTTGTAGTTGGAAATGTGCTTAATTGTGTTAAAATGTCACAGAACTAAACTGGTACTGAACTAATGGTCTTGATAAAACTGGCTTCATTTTATATGCATACAGCACAATTTTAATTTTGTGGTGAAATGTGACCTGAATATGTTTCCTGAGATCATGACTTTAGCAGATTTGCATAATTTGAATATTACTGACACTTGAACATAAGGAAATTGTTCAAGGTGCAAAAACGTGCATTTTGACATTGCATTTTAACAATTTCTTTCTTAAAAGAATTTCATCACAAATCGTAAACCTTCCAGCAAACAACATCCAGATGGGTGTTTGCTGTAAATAACAATAGTTTGAATGTAACATTCCTTCCGTCTTCCGTTACTGACGTTTCTTAAAAATGGAAGATCTTTTGGGTTGTTTTATGTTAGTTTTTAACATAGGGACATATTTTGGTGGTGTATTTAGATTTGAATTCGTGTTTAATGTGCCTTGTAAACATTCTTACATTTGCATATGGCTATTTGCATTTGTGCTCTCCACCCTTTCTAATCCGGGTTTCTTCAGATCATTTCTTTTTTTGACGTGTAGCTACTTTGTTGCCTAACATTGTGTTTAATATCTTGCGTAAATGTACGTGGAAGACAGGAATGACTGCACAGTATTTTGTATGCAACTTGCTCTGTTATTTTCATGACGCTTTCACTTATGACCGATTAAGTGCCATTCAGAACATCAGGGTTAAATGATGCAGGTTAAAGGTTTTGCTTTCACCAAAAACAGGGAAATGTGAGCTATAATGGTGTGTATATTGTGCAAATTGCAGATGAATCTCAGGTCGAATTTTCACAACATAATCAAAAAACAAAATATTCTCATTACAGTATAATGCTTCTGAATTTTCCCCCTAGTTTTTTTTATAATTACAACACTGAAATAAAAACTATTATAGAAAATATTCTTGTGTTGCAAGAAAACACTTTTTCAGTCTTCTTGAAAATGGAAAATTTCCTGTTTAATTTAGTGTCAGTTGCCATTTCTTAGTAATTATTTGTGAAATTTACTAGAAATTTCAGAGGGAAAATTGTTTCAGTGTATGCTTTACAGTTTTCACGCAGGAAATTGCTTGTTAATTTCACAAATAATTAAATGAAATGTGAAATTTTGAGGTAAGACTGAAATAGTGTTTTCTTGTAAAACAAACTCCAGTAATCTTACAACTTCAAATAACATTTTTTGCAATGCATTTTATAGTAAAAATTGACTATAATATATATATATATATTTTAAATTAGCACGCACTAAAGCCAGTACACTGTTACAAAATTAGTTGTAATAACGCAAATATTATTGGTGCACATTTTACAAGAAAATACTGTTTTAGTCTTTCTACTTCAAAATTTCGTGTTTAATTCACTGTGCAGTTTCTTTGTAATTAAATGTGAAATTTAAAAGGTATTTATGAGTGAAAATTGTTTCTACACCAATTTTTTGAGTGATAATACCATGATTATTAATGCTTTACAATTTAAATGATGTATCGTTGGCATTACGATAATGAGAATTTGTAGTTGGAAATGTGCTTAATTGTGTTAAAATGTCACAGAACTAAACTGGTACTGAACTAATGGTCTTGATAAAACTGGCTTCATTTTATATGCATACAGCACAATTTTAATTTTGTGGTGAAATGTGACCTGAATATGTTTCCTGAGATCATGACTTTAGCAGATTTGCATAATTTGAATATTACTGACACTTGAACATAAGGAAATTGTTCAAGGTGCAAAAACGTGCATTTTGACATTGCATTTTAACAATTTCTTTCTTAAAAGAATTTCATCACAAATCGTAAACCTTCCAGCAAACAACATCCAGATGGGTGTTTGCTGTAAATAACAATAGTTTGAATGTAACATTCCTTCCGTCTTCCGTTACTGACGTTTCTTAAAAATGGAAGATCTTTTGGGTTGTTTTATGTTAGTTTTTAACATAGGGACATATTTTGGTGGTGTATTTAGATTTGAATTCGTGTTTAATGTGCCTTGTAAACATTCTTACATTTGCATATGGCTATTTGCATTTGTGCTCTCCACCCTTTCTAATCCGGGTTTCTTCAGATCATTTCTTTTTTTGACGTGTAGCTACTTTGTTGCCTAACATTGTGTTTAATATCTTGCGTAAATGTACGTGGAAGACAGGAATGACTGCACAGTATTTTGTATGCAACTTGCTCTGTTATTTTCATCAGTTAAACAGGTTTGGCTCCAGACGTTTATCTATAATCGCTGTGAACTGCATGCAAGAGTCTATTTATTTTCCCAACTGAGACACTTAGTAGACGTTGGGGGTCACAGCAGCATAAACGTTCCTGGGATGGAAGAATCAGGCTTTATAAGTTGTGAAATGCCATCTTTACAGCCTTGACATGAAGCCAAAGAAACTCACCTTTGTGCTTGGTTTGGAGAATTTGGAAGATACAACGGTGGACCTCGTGTTTTGTTTCCAGCTGACCTTCTCTGCGTGTTTCCTCTTTGTTTCCTTTCTGTGATTTCCGTTATACCTTTAGGGAGGAAAAGCTGACATGCTCAAAAGAGTTGCCAAATGTTTTTGTGGAAATGGATCTGAAATGCATGCTTTTATTGTGTTCTGGGTGAATACTGTATATGTGTAAGTGTGCATGAGAGATACTGCTTGCTCTAGTGATAGGGTAAGAGAATGAAGAGTTTTCCAAAAACAAATCATAATGCTAGTTCTAAAAGCCATATTCATATTTGTTCTTTAAGCTTTCAGCCAAAGATGCGTTTGATCATGTCGGCATGTTCAGGAGTGTATATACTGAGTCACATCTGTGTAATTCTGTTTTCTCTGATTTCATGAATTTGGTACTGCTTTTGATGATTTTCTGTTGTTTTTGAGTGTTTGTCATTTTAAAACTGAGTTTGTATATAATATATTGCGTGCATAATATCATATTTTGTGTTTGTGTCTCTTTAATAAGGTTGAAACATCTACAGTTATGTGCCTGACCTGTGTTTAGATACTGGCAGTGCAGGAAAAATAATTTATATGAATTTTATCAATATTTTATCATACTAGTCAGAAGATGATGTTTTGTGGAAGGAGTTTGTGAATAGCTTATAATCATCTGGTGTCTCTGTTCTTTAAAGTGAATCAAATCCATGATTTTTTCATTTGAAATGAAAGATTTATAGTTGACTTGGTAATAAGCAGGCTCTGTTTGTCTAACTAAGCTTTGTTCAGATAAGATAACCTTCATTTGTTTACTTTCAGAGAGGTTTAAAGGGCCACACTTACTTTGAAAGGAAGAATTTGACTTTATATTTGCCTCAAGATCATCAGCGTAAGGAAATAATGATAGGATATGAGGACCAAAAGTAATATTTTAGATATTATTATATTGAAAAATCGAGCAAAAATTTGATTATCGTGTATCGCGGTCACTAAAAATATACTAAACCACTCGTGATAGAAATATATATTTTTTGTACATATGAAATGCTAATTGAGACACAAAGTAAATACATTAAAGCGAAGCACAAAATACTTACAGCTGTAGATTAGCAATGAGCGTTATTAAAAACGGTGTCGCCAGATAACGTTAGGTCTAAAAAAAAATATATTTTTTATTGAATATTTAAAATTTACTGATATTTATTATTATTATTATTATTATTAAGAGTAAATTACTGTCAAGAATGCTGCAGAAACGGCGCGCATGGGTTATCACGTGACACGTGTTACTTTTCTCAGCGTTGATCAGGATGACACAATCACAGGCGTTTGTGCTTAATTCGATGAGGGTTTTCAAAATAATTTTATTGAAATTGCTGCCCTCGTTTACACTTCTAAGGCAGGTACTAACCTGTGAAATGTACAACTTTTAAAACATGCTATTTTTAGTTTACAAAAGTTTTCATTAAGACAAAAAACGTCTTTGCATTTAAATGCCGCTCAACGAAGTATTCGGTTTTTTGAGCCTCCAACTGCCCTCTTGCGGAGAAGAACCAACTGTCAGAGTAAAACGCCTTCAATAGTGCGCTCAGCCAATTATCTTCGAGCCCTAACCCCATGCAGCCAATCAGAGACTCCGCTGGGCGTCACGTGACGCGCGTAGAGTGGAAGCGCTGTGTTATTGTGAAAAAGTCTTGTGCAGTTTTCATGGCGGACAACACAATAAAAACAATATAACTTCACGCTAATTAATGGCGCAGGAATGATGGAAAAGACTGAGGAGCCTCCTTCCTTAAACACCGAGGAAGAGGGTTCTGAAAAAGACCAAATCTGGTGTTTACAGCGTGTGGGGAGAGACCGTGACTGGCTGCATCTGTTCGAGGGCTCAGAGGTGCATGTTTGCTGAATAAACCTCATCTATTTAACGTTATATGTGCTTA